GGGGGAGGGGAAGAGAGAAAGAATGAGTCCGCTGACGGTCGGATAGTTCGGACTACCGACTGCATAAGACTGGTTTTCAATTTTTTCCCGACTTTTTGTTTTACCTGTGCTGTGCCTCGCACACAGCCTCACACCGTGTCTCTCTATCTCTCTCCTTCCCCCCTGTTCTTCGACTCTCTCCTCCTCCTCCTCCTCCTTCTCCTCCTCCTCCACCCCTTTTCCCTCCCGCAGAGCGTGCTGGACGAGTAACGGGTGAGCCGAGAGCTCCAGGCCGCCGCCGCCGCCGCCGCCGCCGCCGCCGTCGACGATGAAATGCTCCTCGATCGGCCCGACTCCGAAATCCTCGGGGACGGATCTCTCTCTTCGTGGATGGTCCAGCATGATGAATCTTTCGGCCGCTGGGTGCACCGGGAATTTTAGGACTGAGAACAAAGCTCGGCTATTAGACCGAAACTGTTGTTTGTCAGATCCATAAACTCCGCGCGTATCTTTCAAATTAAACTTCTGGAAAAAAACAAATGTACATTTCTGATTACATAAAAAAATTGTCAGGCACGATTTCTCACGTCTCTCGAATGTGCAATTTGTACAATAATTGATTTTAATGGAAATATTGATCGATCGGAGAGGCTTTTATGACAGCCTTGCCATTAAAATCTGTAAATGAATTAGGCATTGATTTTTATCTCTTTCAGACATGTCGTGGCATTAATATGCAGATTTACAAAAATGGGTACCGAATATCGTAAGGCTTTAAGGAAGACCTAGCATACGCGCGAAAGTAGCGACTTTTTTTCGTCAATAATATAAATCTCGTATGCTAATAGCTCTATAGTCCGAGAAGATTTATCTCCGACGAGTTTTGCAATAGAAATCCAATATAGGTTAACGATGTAAAACCAACTCGACTTGTTTATACGTCGACTGAACTATTCTGCATACCGAAAATAAATGTTGTCTTTCACTTTCCGTCGAAAAATCAATTGCAACTATTGCTGAATTAATTCCAGTTAATAGTTCACTAACGATAATATTCTTCAGTGGGCACAGAGAGAACGACTCTCGAGTGTCGATCAAGAATAAATAATCTCTCTCATCGAGTTCCAGGTTTTAAGTAACTTCGAAAGCGTGAGATATATCGCAAATCTTTATTCCAAAGTGTTCAAGGCAAGCGAAAAAAATACTCCGAGAAAAACAATGATGACAACTATAAGCAGTGAACAATTACATAAGTTTTATATGTAGAATTAATGTACATATATAATGGAATAAATTATTTTATATTTGCGATTATACAAAGTAGCTTTTATTCAGCTTGTTGTGATGTGTACACATAAATTCTACATATATCAAATAAAACTTACGTAGGTGTCAATTTTTAGATGCCTACCCCCTTTTGCTATCATTTTTCTCTGAGTGAAAAATGACACAATTACGTTGATTTTTTTTTTTTTTATTATTTACGATTATTTCTATTCATCGTTACTCTACTTCAGCGCGCCAATTTGAAGCATTTCTCCCGCGTTCGGTGTGATTTTTCATTTCGCGTCATTGCCAAATTATCTTGCTACAAAGTCTTTGCGCGATCAGCTGGTAAACCAGCTTTTCCCGCGAGTTTTTCCTTCGCCGGGAACGTTCGAGGCGGGGTTGCGAATACCGTAGGTCGTCGCGTCCAACGTTGGTATTCACGCCCGTGCGTTTCTACGCGCTGCCAGCAGCGGAATGCAGATGTGTGCAGATTGCATTCGGAGTACTACCCAGCGTGCGAGACACCTTGGGTCTTCTTTTTTTGCGTTGCGAGAAAGAAAACACGCGAAGAATTCGAGCGCGCAGAAAAATCCGACGCTCTGCGATTCACGCGTTGCGTAAGAGGAAGTTGACGAAGTTCGCGCGTGCACTTCGGATTAAGTGTTTCGCGCATTGCGAAACCCTTGAAAAGCTCTCGATCGTCAACACAATCCGCTTATGTATGGCCGATCGTTTTAGCTGGAATTCAGCCTGCTGGCTTGCTCGTTTCTCGCTGCTTGTTGTCGATCATAATGCATCCCGTTTTCCATCCGAGGATGCGCGTCGGCAAGCGTAATCGCATTTTTATTCCAAGGCTGTACAATTCATTATATTGCCATCTATGTAAACACTTGGTCGATACAATGTGTGTATAAAGAAAAAAACTCGACAGTTCATATAGCGCTCAATTATGCTTGTTGTAATCTTTATAAAGACGTCTTAAGACTGGCAAATTTCGATGGCTGAAAGCCACTTCCCCTGAATTATGATTATTTTTTTTACCAACCCGATACTTATCTCATTGTCAGTATTGTAGATTTAGTGGTAACGTACGACGAAAATAAGACGATTTCCTTTTGACGGGAAAGAAAATCTGGCTGCATCAATTGGAAATCTGGTAAATTCAGAAAGGTACTTACTGTTGGATATCTAATAAAATTTTTTAAGTATGTGAATACTTATTAGTTAAATTAAGTACTTATAGTTAAATCTATTATCAAGCATTCCTGATTATTTCTGATCGAAATATTATAATCAGAATCAGAATTCTTATTAGGATAATCAGAATGCATTTTGTTCGAATATATATGTCTTGTTGATACAGCCAGAAAAATGTTTTTTAAATTTTGCGTTTGTGAAATAAAAGTACAAAAGCAAGTATACGTACAATAAATATCGACGCTTGCTAAATAAATGATTTTTGAGCTAAATAATTATTGAAAGCCTTCGTTGTATTTAATTAAGCGTAAATTAAGCGACAAATTATACCGCGAGTTGCCATGACATACAGAAAATACGAGTTTGCCGACGGTATAATGTGTATCTTGCTCACGTAAGGTGTCAAGTAAATAAACATTTTTATTCGCTTGCACAGTCGCTTGCACGATTTCTCGCAATCGGTTTCACAACGTTCGACAGTATATATAAAGTTCCATCTAAGTAACAACGCAACGATTCTTCTCGAATGCATTCCGAAACTCTCGTCGCAGATGTCCGGTTAATCTTTCTCGCCTCCTCCGGACTCCCCTCGTCTCGACGAGTGCGAAATTGAAGGCTCGTGACATTTGCTTACGCTGACGACGCGTTTCGATGCGACATCCGCATATCGATTACGAAAAGGAAAAATTACGCCGCAATCTCGACGCGGCGTGCGCGGGATTGCGAGGGGATCAAACAATTCATTCTCGATGAATTCCGAAACTCGCGCAGATATCCGGCTGACCTTTCTCGCCCCTCTCGATCGGCTCTCTCGCTCTCGCTCTCGCGCCTCGTAGAGTCAGGAATGAAATATGAAATTATACAACGCCTTCGGTGATTTCCACGAGGAAAAGAATGCGCTCATAGATGGACGATTATCGCAATCGTATCGCAATATCGAAAGGGGAGTGATTATGTATATGAAGGACTCTCAGGCTGTGATGGCTGGACTCCCTCCTCGACTCCCAGCCAGTTGGGTGCTCGGATTTTAGTTCGGAAGGCAGCGATTGTACGGCGATAACATAATATAGATGTGTAAGAAGTTTATGAGACATTCTTACTTTGTGTCGAATGGTTATATTATCGGACGGAACAATTTGTTAAAGGACAATTTCTACAAATTTTTAACTCGATACTGAGAATAATTTTGTTACATTATCAAAATAATTAAATATGACGTATTGAAGCATAATGAAGCAATACTGACAAAAATTTTTTCAAGCGTCCTACATAATTATTTTGATACTTTTTCGATACTTTAATAAAATCGTTCTTTTCGTGTAGATGAAATGTCAAATTCCAATATTCCTGATTCCGTTTTAGAAAACACAAATTCAAAAAGAAGCGCTTTTCTATGTTACAATTTCACTACAATTTTCTAAATTATGGCAAAGTTATGAAAATGTGATAAATTTATATGGAGGAATTTTTTTGCTAAATGCGTACTGAACTTGGTACTTAAATTGTACCAATAATAGATATTTGAAATATCAAGCTACAAAATGTTCAATGTTCATTTGCGTACAAATCAGTGCCAAATGGAAAATGTAATAAAAGTTGCTTAAGTGGCAACTCTCCCCTAATGTTTTTCTGGTTTTCTCTCCCTCAAATATAACATTATGAAACGTGCTTTGTTTTACATTCGAAATGAGAGCTTTAGCTTTTTATTCTGAGAAATATGAAAAATATATTACCGTGTTCTTTTGGCTGTGTTATAATATTTTATTTTCTCGAACATTATAAGGATCCTTAAAAGTCGTGTAGGAATGACATAATATTTTAACAATGGTATTTTAAGTGGATCAGTTATTGACCGATGGATGATTCAACAACATAATGTTATCGTGTTGTTTTTACCTGACAATATTTGAAACAATTTGAAACATATTATATTTACCTTTAATCTATAAATTCCATTTTTGATAAGCCTATTTATTTTTAAGTGATGGATTTCAAAGATTCCTGTTCGATTGCGTAAATGACGACCGACGGTGACGTATGATACAATTCCTTGTGGCAACGTGTCACGACATATCAGCGTCCATATAGCCGCGTCCGTTCTTCTAGGAACCGAACGAGGGAGAGCCATCCAGTTCCGCGAAAAAAGTATGCCCGGTATAAGACAACCGCGAGATATGGCGGAAGCGGCTAAATGCTTAAACGCTCGAAAGCCAAGCTTAAATGCCGCTGATTGCAGTAGGAGGGAAATGAGAG